CTTTCGGGGATAGTTTTCAGTGAGCAATGAACTAGCGTCCTTGTCCAATTTGGCGGCTTTGGATATTGTTCTATTAAATATGGACTTCTGGCCGAGAGGTATTGAGAAGGTGAAAAAGTTCAATATAGTTGTTGGCGATTACTTTGGTGGCATCCCTGACCCTCGTTATTCGTTATCAAATAAGTTGGATCTCCAAGGTCAAAACTTGAGTGACATTGAAACGAGGTTTGATTTGCTGTTGAAGAGAACTGAAATTCTTATTTTAACCGCAACTGCAGTAAGTTTGAAAATTCTCTGTGATTTGGTCGACGAAGATGGTTTTGAATGCTTAATGAAATTGACACTAGACTACTTGACTGAATTGGAATACCTCATCAATACAACAGATGGGGTTCCCCAGAGTGCTTTTCCTGTGAGTGTCTGTATCTTCGTAATCTATATAATTTCAAAGGGATTACTAGCCATGAATGTCATGAATACCGACTACCGAACACGGCTTTCCGTGCATTGAAAGAGTTGGTACTATATTTCTTGCCTGAATTGACAAATATGTGGAAGGGTCCCACCCAACTTGTATGGCTCGGCAACCTGACGTCTGTAGATGTGTTCTGGTGTCATAAACTACAAACTACGTTCTCACTTTCCATAGCTAGAGATCTAAGGAAACTGCAGGACGTTCGGATAACTCACTGTGGCATGATGAAAGCAATTGTTTCAAGTGAAAAATGATTTATATTTACGAAAATTATAAAAATTATATAATTAATTATTATAAATTATTATTATATATAAAAATTATATTATTTCAATGCTTGAGTGTTGTGGGTGTGGCCATTGGTGTGTGTGTCATTGTGTGGGTTGGCTTTGGTTGGTAGTAGAAACGCCATTTCAAATGGCGTTTTAAAAAAAAAAAAAAAAAAATTAAAGGTATATTTAGCTTTGGTTTTGGATTTAAAAAAAAAAAAAAAAAAAAGAAAAAGAAGAAGAAGAAGGAGAAGTTGGTTGTGAACCTGAAATAAATAAATAAATAAATAAAAGAAAAAAGATTGAATGTATATTTAGTTTTGGTTGTGAATCTTAAAAAAAAAAAAAAAACATGGGGAAATTAGTGGGTATCTATCCCCAACCCATCCCCTGTGGATATTTAAAGAATATCACCTACCCTACCCAATGGATAAGAAAAAAGGGGAAAACCCATGTATTTGGGTTGGGTCTCCATGGATACCCACAGGGTAGGTTATCCATTGTCATCCCTACTATTTTGCGGTGTTAGTGATCCTAACATTTTGTCGCAATTCATGAGTACCTTTGACATGGGCATTCTCTGATCTACTGCTAATAATGATTGTGTATGAAATGTGTATAAAGAAGTATTTTATGACATTAGGAACTAAGAAAAATAATAAGAGTATTGTTATTAATGTCCAAAAATTAGATCTGTTTTCTAAACTCAGTGATGTGTTCAGAAGATAATTAGTTGATAATTAGAGAATATTTAATTATCAACCAATCATTTTTTTGACACATTACTGAGTCTAAAAAATAGACTTATATATTATTTTTCAAGTAACAATAATGTGCAATTCTCTCTCTCTCGATCTTGATCTCAAAATTGAGGATGAAAGTTTAGAGTTATCATTCTCTTTAAATAATTTGACAATATTACACAAATTAAAAAGAAGTTTGAACAGAAAACCAAGAGCAAAAATGTAATTTTCAAACAAATTTGAATTCACTTCAAATTTAATAGTATAAATGGAAACTGATAGATGATCACAACTCACAAAATTTGGCATGGGGAGATTACAAGCATAACAGGTTTTGGGGCTTTTTTGACTTTTAGCACTTTAGTCCCTCTTTGTCCCATTTCCTTGTATCAATCAATCACATTTGTTCCAACTTGATTTGGGCATTATAAAGCATGTATGTCTCTTGGGTTCAACTATTATGGATTTGGATATACTGAATCTTGATGTGGCTAAAAAATGTATGTACTATGATTACTATCACTAGATGATCCTTTCCATCACTAGCATGTGATGTTCTCCTAAATTGTTGTTAGCCATAACTAGTTGTTCTTGTTGCTCTAGATCATGAACCATCTGTGGGTTATTGTTGAAGTTTTGGTTATCTTGGCTGGCTAGATTGGGTCCAACAGGTGGCTGTGAATGGTCCTGTTTGGTTGTGGTGATAGTGGTGGTGATGATGATACATCTGCATAGTGGACAGGTGCGGTTCGAGTGGAGCCAATAACCTATACAATCAATGTGAAACACATGTTTGCATGTTGGAATTTGGTGCACCTCCTCCTTAATCTCAAATTCTCCCAAACAAACACAACACCTGTAGAGTGAGAATTTTACGAATTGGATTAGTAACACATTTGATTAGACTCTCATTGAGAACTAATGTAGCTAATATAACTTTCCAATGATTAGGGTAACTAGGTAAACCCCATGTAATAAAAGTAGTACTACTATCATAAAAATTAACAAATCTTCCTAAATCCTCTAATTCAATTTTAATTGTTCCTCTTACATTATTTTGGTGAGTTCCATTTCAATTATCAAAATTTTATTATCGAGTGAGTAAGAGAATTTTATAAGATTTGTTAATTTGCATATTATTTTTTAAAAAGAGAAGAAAAAAGATATAGAGAGAGAGATAGAATAATATCTGCATATAAGTAGTCACAAAAAATGAATGAATTATTGGATTATGTTGAGATCAAAAAAAATAGAAGACAATTGATTACATTGAAAGACTTACGTTGAATCCCTTGAAGTTAAATCTTCATTGACCAAGATTATTGGAAGATTGTCTTTAAGGTTTCCCTTCAAACCCATCTCACTCTACAGACATAAACACAGCAAAGAAACTTTAAAAATTAGAAGCATTCAAACAAGCTCATATACAATTGATTAACTTTGGTGTTTCATCAGAATACAAGATCAAGTATCATACTTCTCTTTCATTCTTGTGTATGTTTAGAGAGAAAGAAAGAAGACTTACTGAAGAAGGAAAGAGAGCATGATCTAAGGTGGTCCTTGGAAGTGTTGGTTGGGAAGAACCAGGGGAAGCCCTCCTCTTGAGGTAGAACAAGTAAAACAAGAGTAAGAGAATTATGGAGAAGAGTATTGGGATTGAGAATATAAAGGCCTAGTATAGTTTAAGTTGAATT